GAAACAAAGGTAGGAAGTGAAATGGCCAGAAATAAGCCAGGACACAGGTCGAAGGACAGTTAAGGAACTGGTTCTGCAGCACAGCTTGTCCACTGCAGTGTTCCTCCAAAACGTGTTTCAGCATATTTGGCAGGTCCGCAAGTGTCCTTAAAAGGCTAAATTGTGTTGGAAGGAGTGGCCACCGCAGACAGGGCTGATGGGGCCAGCAGAAGAAAATAGGGCCAGCAAAGCAGTGGCTGGCTAACGTCGGGATGTTGCAGTGGAAGTTTAGACCCGAACCGTGTTCGGCTACAAAGAGGGCTAGTCAAGGAAGATGGTCACTGGGACCCACAGTCAAGGCAGCTGGAGTCCGGCCAGCTGGGTAGAGTTCCTGAGTGCCCCGCAGGCAGGGAAGGCTCTCCGAGCGTGCTGGAGTTAGATGCAAATTTCAGGGATAATTATCAATGAGTTTGGTTATTTTCACAGGAGATTGAAAAACCTGTTGCTTTCTACCTTGGTAGAGTTCAGATTGTTTTCTAAACAGTCCTTTTATGAGGTAATGCTCTGACCTTAAAATCCTCTTAAACTCCCTGATTCTTACTGGCACAGTCAGGTCTTCCTCCACTTAGGTTATTTTCATAGCCTCATAAATGGTTTCACTATCTCTTCATTCCGACACATCCTACCTATAACTGCCAAATTAATCTTTTAAAGCATCACTTACCTCTTATTAATAATCAAGAAGTGACAATGGTCCTTTTTTGTCCTTGTCCAAACCAGCATCAGGATCAAATTTTTCTGTTTTGCACTAGAAGCTCTAAATAGTGTGGAGCATGCCATTCGGAGCTAACATTAACTCCCACTCCACGATTAGCTTGCATGACTGTTCATCAGAACACTGGAGTTCAGCCCCCAAGTCTGCTCCTTCAAAAGTGTAGGAAGTCAAAGGTAGACATCAGATTAGTCCTTTGGGTGTGTTTGCTTTGCATTGTGACCCAAAATCATGCATATTATTGTTAGCCAAAGAAAATTAAATTTCGTTTCTCAATTACTGCCTTCCTATCCTAAACCAAGTTCATTGGTCTAGCTTCAATCTCACGCCCATTGTTAAACTAGCTATTGTGGCCATAGAATATAGTACTCTTATTGGTTAGGCCTGAGCCATGTGCCCACCCATAAGCCATGTGACAAAAAGTGAGAAGACTGATTTCTCACGAGAAATGTAAGGTGACACTCTGCAAAGAGTAGACCCCAAATGTGGGAATTTCCTATGAAGGTAATAAAGCCCTAACTTCAGGCACCCTCATTTACAGGCTCCTTCCAAGACCAGGTATCTAATCTTATGTTTAAAATTCTGGATTTTGTTTATCAAAGACAGACCCCAAATTACATAAACCTTAGAAGTTACCAAACCTGGAACTACACATAAACAAAACCATTCAAGAACATTTGCGAAAATTCTCCGAATATTGTGCTTCCTCTTGTTCTCAATAGAAATAATCATTCATTATTTTAGTCCCTAAATTCTTCACAATAACTTAACCTCTTGACACCAACAGAAACTTATTCATTCCCTACATATCTCTCAAGCTCTCAGAAACCAGCATCTTAATGTATTTCTCTCTGCCTCTGTCACAGACCCACACAGACACTGTTTTTCATTTTGCCTCTCTTCGAACTTTCTCCCAGATGAAACCCGCCTCCCACCATGTCCTTTCACAAGAGCCTGCCCAGTTGGAGGTGCAGCTCTCTGGTTCTCGCTATGGTTCCTTGTAGCACCAATTTGAAGAAACTTACCAGTTTCTTAGCAGCAGTGCTTGTTTCACTCTAAACTAATCATCACTAAAAAGATTTCAATCAAACAAAAGTGTCAAGTCAAAATTAATTCTCTAAAATTATCACAGAGAGAACATGAAACCTAAGGTGAATGTTGTAGTGGAATGAATCTAGGATGTGCCTTGGGTCACCGCCATATACGTGCAGAGGACCTGTGATGGGGGCTGGGGGAGGCCAGAACCAGGTCTGGATCACCAGGAAGTGTGGCCTTGTTGTTGGGATTTCCAGTTGCACTTTACCCTTGCACTTGGCAGACAGCCCCAGGAATGTAAATTCATACTGTTTTGAATGTGGGGGAAGGTGAGGGAACTAAGCCTGCCTGCTGCTATTCTGATTACAGCATTTGTCCCTGAGAGAGACAGCTCTGGGAATGATGCTATTTCTTCCCTTCTCAGAAAAATGGTCTGAGCCATGTATCAGGGAAGGCCAAGGGAGAGCTACACATGACAATTTCCACTTAATTCCCTGTGGGTTCCAAATCTATATCATCCTTCAGAGGTGGTATTGTGTTTGACCCATCCTTCCCCCCGCAACACATCACCACCTCCCGCAAGAAAAATGGCATAGAAACAAGCCAGCAAAATCATGTTGTCTTTTTTTCCTTTTATTTTGCTGAAATTGTCTCTAGGCAGAAGGGGGGAGTATACACCAGATGGCTGTTGCTGGAGTAGAAACCTACTACTGAGGAGTTTCGATGTGATTCAAAATGGTGACAGTCACTATTTCTTTGCATGAAAAGAGGATAAAATATCAGAGGGTGGCAAAGATTTCCAGAAGGCTGTTCTCCAGCATCCTGTCTATGTCCACACACATGTAAAATGCAGTCCCTTTTCTCTCGTTCTCCAAAGTTCTGCCAATCTTGGGTTAAAGTTCTTTAAGTTCAGCAGCTCAGTATTCATTTACAGATTAATATTATCCATCGTACCTTAAAGCACCCGAGCCCCCGGTAACCTTACTCCTTAGCATCCCCACCACTCAGCAAATCCCCACAAATCACCTTGTGTGTCCTCAACCTCTCCTCCCTACACATGAGTAGAGAGAAAATTGAACATAGAGCTGACTACGAGTTAATCTCTTTTATCTTCTGTAGTTCGGGAGACTTAGCTAACAGAAGAGTCTCTCACCCTGGTGTCTGCATCATCTATGCGCCCACAGGATCACAGCACATGGAGGTCTCAAGTGGAGACTGATGCTTTGCTGCCCTATTGTTTATTAGAGAAAAACGACACTCCATCTTTTGTGAGACAATGTACAAGTGCAGCTGACTATCATTCTCTTCTTCCTCAATATACGGTGTCATTTTCAACAGTACTTCTCCAGCTCTCCAGCACCGGCCAGGAGTTAGCACCAGAGCCCACAGGCTTAAGGACTCAGTCCCACGAGATTGGCCTCACTTCAGAAACCGGTTACAAATATCATATCTCCAGGTTACCCACACTTCTGTTCAACTGGGTTTCAAATTAAGGGGTTCCCAGCAACCATCCCTCTGATTTGATAATTTGCTAGGATGACTCACAGAATCAGGAAAGTACTTTACTTATCCATTAATTATAAAGGATACAACTTGCAAATAGCCCCAGGAGGACACCTATGGGCCAAGGTATGGGCGGGGGGGGGGGGGGGTTTGTCCTCCAACACTCATAGTTTCATCAACTCAGAAGCTCCCGGAACTTGTCATTTAACAGTTTTTAATGGAGGTTTCTTTACATAGCCATGACTTATCAGATCATTGACTATTCAGGACTGAATCAATCTCTAGCTCTTCTTGCCTTCCCAGAAGGTAGTAGAAGGGAGGTGGGGTAGGGCTCAGGTTGAAAGTTGCAAACCTATAATCAAGACTTGATCTTTCTGGTGACAAGAAGCCCCATCACCTTTATAATCAGGAAATTCCAAGAGTTTTAGGAGCTCTGTGCCAGGAACTGGGACAAAAACCAAATATTGTCTTTTTATGCTTTTTTATACCACATCATTCCATTATGCTTACTGTCTTGTAAAAAATAAAAAAAAAATTCTAGAGATACCGTCCTTAGGTTGTTGGACTTCCTGGCTATTTCTGGATCTCCATCTTTGTGTATTATACTCCATATCTCTTTAAAAGATTGACCAGGAACCTCCAATATGTTCTTCACTAGGCTTTAATTCCCGTCTCAGACCTCTTTTAACTGTCCCCTCTAACTCATTCTTGGGAGCAAGCATCTTAGGGCACTGAAGTTGAATGCCCACTCCACCTCTTCTCCTTCCACAAGTATCTTAGGATGTCAGTGAGAAGGGTGAACTTAACTGCTCCAGGACCTTAGTCCATTCATGCCAGCATCCTCTCCATTTTCCTGGGCCACCTCCATTGGTCTCTGAGTTACTCAGTCACTGATGAAAGAGGGTGGTTTAGACCTCAGCAGGTCTGTTGAGTCTAACTTATTCAAGTCTCTACTGGGAAACACTGGCAGCTGAGACTGGAACACCAGACCAAGAGCTTTACTGGCTAACACTGGACTGAATGAGGTGAGGTAGAGTGCCTCTGTGCATTCTGCCCCTCTGGCCCTACTAAGAAAGACAAAAAAAAAAAAAAAAAAAAAAAAAAAACCCAAAAGCTCAAGGAAGACAGCTTTCCTTTCATATTATCAAGAGATCTTGCTTTTGAAGCAAATGCCTCACATCCCCCTCCTTTGGGATCCTATGATATCTGAGGCACCAGACAGTCTGGGATGGTGCGGGCCTCAAGCCCACGCTGCTTGGTCTGAAATCCGTGTTTAGGACCCAGCATGTGGCAATGTGCTCTACTCTGATGACACTTTTTCTTTTCTAATAATAGACAGATGAAGTAATATTGCAATTGATGTTTCCGGGGATTTGATTGGATAAGTGCATAAACTGTGGAGGGGGAAGTGGGTTGTATGGACGGATCACATTAGTATTCCCATCCTATCAATGTGCTGGGCCGCGAACAACGTCAGCCAGACCGATTCCCTGCGTCTGCCAGTCCCGCCACGGATTCATTTGGGATCCTCAAAGAGACTAACCCGTAGAGACGTCGGATCAAGGCAGCCGATTAGAGCCAATTGCTTGCTTCTGGGACTGCCAGCGCTTGCAGGCCTGGCGACAGGGGAGGGAGGGCCGGCAAAGACAACCGAGGGCAGCTGCGAGAAGACACTGGAGCAAGCGCGACACCCGTCCCCCAACCCCCTTGAAGCGCAGGCTTTGAAAGCTGCTCCCCCATCTGAATGGAAACTCGGTACCGCCGGGCGGCGCGTTCCTTCTCGCCCAGGGCTGCAATTCATGCCAACGGAAAGGTGGTGCGAGCCCGCGCCAGTGCCCAGCTCCCGGGACAGGGCCGGCAATGCTGCTGAGCAGAACTTGAACGAGCCCCTTCCTCGCTGCTAGTGGAAGCAATGCTGCACGGCACGGCCAACGCTTCCTCGGCTCTCCTTCAAGCTGAAGGTTACCCACGCGCGCAGGCAGCCCCAAGCCTGTGAGCGCCGCGCCTCGGGTCCCGGCTCTGGTTACTTGGCGGCGGCGCGCAGGGCAAAGACCGGGCCGCCCGCGCCGGGGCGCACTGCACCAGTGGCTTTGGCTTGGTGGATGTGTATGCATGAGTTCTGCACCGAATGGGCGCAAAAAGCGCCCCAGCCGGTCCACCCGCTCCTCGATCTTCCAAATCAGCAAGCCTCCCCTGCAGAGCGGGGATTGGGAGCGCAGGGGCAGCGGCTCGGAAAACACCTACAAAACCCAAAGAGCCCTGGACGACTGCAAGATGGTAGGTTAAAAAAAACAAAAAACTGCGTGTTTTTTTTTTTTTTTTTTTTTTTTTTCCGGAGCGGGGGTAGGGAAATTGTGTATGTTAATCATTTGCTTGAGTGCCAGCCAGTCCCCCACCCTCGGCTCCTCCATGCCGATCACGTGCACATGCACTATTTTTAAATCTGCAGTCCCCGATTCAGCGTGATACCCAGGTCGTAATGACCCTGCAAAGAAGTGCCACGCCAAGGGTCTTGGGGTCAGCGGCTGTAGGTCGTGCCTCTTCCCACCCCCAGAGAACGGTAGATGCGAGAGACACGGTGAACCGGCTCGCTCAACAGGGAGGGAGAAAAGGAAGGTGGGGCTGTTGCTTTATGGGAGATAGTAGCAAACAAACCCAAACAGAGCGCACTAAGCGCTGCGGAGGGGACGTAGGTTCCAGTGCAGAGGCTGTGGCGGGTCTTCCGGTTAGGCTTTGGCGCCCGCGCGGATCAGTCTGAGTGATTTGGCAATTGCAATCTACCTTGTTCTTTATCCCCTGCAACTTCTTCTTCTTCTTTTTTTTTTTTTTTTCCTTCCCTGCAACTTCTAATCCATAACCTAATATGTGTATAGGGGAGCGAACTGTGCGGGAGTTCCCGGCACTAATTCTCTAGTGACCTGGGAGTGGCATGGTACTCTCCAAATATGCTCTTCAGAAACTGAGTCTGAATGGGTCAGGGCAAGTTGGTCTGAAAATACAGCTTCCATGAGCTGACATGCTGATGAAAAACAGCCCCTGGGCAAAGCGAATTTACCATCTTTGTGCCTTAATCTTTCATCAATTTTAGTCGTCTTAGCAAGAGATTTGGGGGGGTGGCTCGGGGATCAGCAAGAACCCCTGTCATGAACACTAACAGAAAACTTTCTGGTACGTGCTTTTTGAAAGAAACTCGCTTCTTTTCCAGCTTGTCCAAGAGTTCAACACGCAAGTGGCTCTGTACCGAGAGCTGGTCATTTCCATTGGGGATGTCTCGGTTAGCTGCCCCTCACTCCGGGCGGAAATGCACAAGACGAGGACCAAAGGCTGTGAAATGGCCCGGCAGGCACACCAAAAACTCGCTGCCATCTCAGGGTAGGAGACTCTTGACATTGTTTGGTAATTCTTGCACATGATGCTTGGAGGCGGGCAGGTATTTATGGTAGCAAGGCCTCGAGATGATCACTGCAAATATGGGATATTAACCAGCCACCCTGAGATCAGGATTCTCTTGAGAGCTAAAAACAAACCAAATCACAAACCAAAGGTTTTTGGCCATTATGTGATTTTTAAAAAAAAAAAATTAACTTTCAATATGCTGACGACATAATTGAAATTCATAGCTAAAGAATTTTCTACAGAATGTTTTGGCATCAAACTGAAATTAAATCATCCTGCCTCAAGATTATTTTGTCATCTACTGTTAGATATCCACAGGCACAAAAGGCCTGTGCAGTAGAGAGAAAATCTTTGCTAAAGCCCAGATTTACTAAACTATTTATACCATGAGATAAATTCCTATGATACCATTTAAAATGAAATCCCTAAAATAAAGCCTTGGATATAAATTACACTCTTCATTGTAGTGTGTGAAAGGGAAGTTTTCACATAGGAAAATCTTAAAGATTGGAACAATTCACTAATCTAACTAAACCTAAGCTGTTTATGCCCGCACCCCCAATTATTTTCATCACACCTAATGGATTCCCAAACCTACTTTAGGTGGTAATACAGTGAATGAAAACTTCTCTCTTAGAACCCCAACCCCTCTTTCCTAATCTCTCAGGATTGGAAGAAAAGTTAGTCATGGAATTTAACAGTTCCTATTTTCAGATGAGTACATAGAGTAAGGAAACAGGAATCCTTACATAAACACATTAATTTAAGTGTTTCAGTCAGTCTGGATATAGCTTTTTTTTTCTGTTTGTGTGAATATGGCATTATTGTGATAGAAGTTTAAGTTTAGTCAGATACATAATGTTGTACATTGAGCAGTTGTAGGAATTAGATCTAATTTACAGATTTGAAAGAATCACTGTTTGCTATCTTTAATATGAATCATATTATAATTATTACATAAAGACTAGAGAGCTATATACTTATCAGTAGTTTACATCTGACAAAAGGTGTTTCATACCATGAAAAAATTTTATAGCATCAAAAAAGATACACTTTGCTAATCTCAAAGGGAGAGAGAAACAAAATATGTTACAAATCTACTTTGGTAGAAATATTTTAAGGACTATCCTTTTCTACTTTAGTGGTGAGAGTGTTCTTAAAGGGAAGTGAATTTGGGAGAAAATCCAGGAGGTGGAAGGGAATTAAGTTTTTCAGGAATTGGGGGGAGAAACACAGCTCTGATAAATCCAAGACAAGGTGTGAAGAAAAAATCAGAATCATGAAGGGGAATAGTGTGAAGTAAAGACTGTGGAGAAACAATTACTTGGAAGGAAAAGAAAATTTAGAACAGAGAACTTAATGCTCAGTTTGAGAGGTAGCACGCTTGTAAACTTTGTGTCCAAGAGTATATGATGGGTTCTATCCAGGATCTCCTTAAATTAGAACTCAAATGATGGCATGTTCTAATTAGAAAATAAGGACTGAAGAAATGAACAAGGCACTCAGTTTAGTCTATTTTGCTACACACATAGAATCCATGTTCTAAAGTTAGAAAAGAAAAAGTCTGAAACTGTTGGCTGAGTTGAAATTCAAGGAACTGGGGGGATTTTTATTTACTCGGGGTTGCGTTGCTCTTTGCTGCTTGTTTCTGGTATCTGAGAGTTGCTGTTAATGAGAACAGTTTTTACAAGAATTGGTGGGAAACTATGTTGTTCTTAAAGTCTTGCAAAGGTAAGACTGGACTCTATAAAATGTTCTAGGGTAGGATCTGTTTCTCCTTAAAATCATAAACACAACTTAACCATCTTTGTAGAAAATGACAGCAACATGACTAAAGGAAATCCCTTTAGCTATTCACCATCTGGGCTCCATTAATGAAGGGTATAATCCCCCTTGGTGGAATTCCATTCCTGATATTGAGATGCGGACTTTTATTTTAAGCTTGATCCAAAGGCCTATAGGGAGGCTGTAGGAATTATTTTAAAATGTGAAGCAGAGAGAAGAAAAGCAAAATTTCTTGGGATATGTAGAGACTAGATTTATTGAGGGTCCTTTCTTAGCCAGCATTATCCAGGTAAGTCACAGAATAATTCTCTGAGGGAGAGATTATTGTCCCTGTTCTACAATGAGTCTCACAGAGGTTAAGGAACATGCCCTTAACAAGTGGTACAACTTTTATTCAGTTCCACATTTGCATGTTTCTGAAACCCACGATCTTCCCTCTATATAAAACTGCCATTCAAAAATGTGTTATGTAAAAAGGAACAAAGTACTGAGACATGTTAACATATGGATGAACCTTAAAAAGAGTATGCTAAGTGAAAGAAGCCCGTCACAAAATACCACATATTTCCATTTATATGAAATACTCAGGAAAAGCAAGTCTCTAAGAAGCAGAAAGTAGATTGGTGGCTGCCTACATCTGAGGTGGCAAATGCTTAGGGTTTGGTGAGGGGAGTGGAACTATTCCAGACTTTAAGCGTGGAGATGATTGTACAACTGTGTATTTGCTAAAGATCTTTGATTTGTGAGCATAAAATGAGTGCAATGTATGTCATGTAAAGTTTACCTCAAGTGTGTTAAGAAAGGTGTGATCATCATCACCATGATTAACACTTGGCCTTTTGCTGGCTTTATTCTTTTCTTCAGTAGATTTTAGTGCAAGGAATATGAGCTCGTTGGAATGTGAGGCAGTAGGGGATACATGGGTCTTCATTCATCGAGATGCCTACTTGAGAGCTAGCATCTAAGAACCAGTGGGGGTGGGGCAGAATTTGACTGAATAAATGAATTTACTAATTTCTTACCAACATAGAGCATCCCCATTCCTGTCTACCACCTGGCTTTGGGACAGTGGAGGGCCACAGGGTTGAGGGTAAACAGGGTGAAAAGAGGATAAAGCACAATAGAGAGAAAAAGAAAGAAAAAGAGTGAGTTTGACTTAAACAGACTGTAAATGCTACATTGCTTCCCATCCCTGACCAATGGAAACCTTCAAATAATGGTAGCCACAAGGGGGAAAAACAGACTATTTCTCACTAGCTTGTCCTGGGAAAAAAAGCCATCACCACAGACATAATCAACACTTTCTCAAACTTTGTTTAGATCAGCAAAGATGGGGCACAACCTTCTCTTACAAAGGCATTGGATGCTTTCTAGATAGAGGCAACAAGGTGAATGAATCCCAGGTCTACCGTGACTGCTTGATTTGCCAGTTTTACAACCCTGATTCTCCCCTAGGCATTAAAGGCAAAGGAGCCATAAAGATCAGTAGCAGAGTGGTTCCCAAACTGGTTTTAGCATCAGAATCTTCACTTCAATGTAAATGTGGAAAGGCAGGTCAAAGGGGCACTGCTCTGCACTGCTGGTCTGTGTCTGTGTGTGTGTGGGGGGGGGGGTGTGTGCGTGTGTGCGTACACATGCACACGTGCATCACATCAGAGGCAGATGCCCTATCGCCTTGGTTTTCCTTCATAAAATGACTTATGAGGGCCTCCCCGGTGGCGCAGCGGTTGAGCGCTGGGTTGCGAAGCTGCCCGCGGCCTCTGCGGCGCCAGTTCGATCCCCGGCTGCTTCCCGGCCACCGGAGGAGGGTCCCACATGGCGCGCAGACCTCTCCTGCCGCCCGCTGCTCCCCTCAGCAGTGTACTTCGGTCCTTCTGCCTGTTCTGCTCCCCGCTCTGGCTCTGGTGGATTCTCTCACCCTCCCGCGCTTCTGACTGTACCCAGTGCTTGTATAAACAAAACAAATAAATAAATAAATAAATAAAAGACTGTCACTTTTAAAAAAAAAAAAAAAATAAAAAAAAAAAAAAAAAAATGACTTATGAGACACCTTCAAAGAATCCCAGGATTCCTGGCACAATTTAGCACAATTTCCTTGTTTTCTATTTGAGGAGTCTGAGGTTTATAGTATTAAAGTGATTTTCAAGGCAACTTTTGTCAAGTATATGTGAAGTTTTTGAAGCCAAGCAGACCTACACTGAATACTGTCCTTTTCTGCAAACTCGATGGAGTCACCTAACTCTCTGAATCTTAATTCACTGTAAGTTAGTTCTCCTGCTCACTCATGGGGCAGTTGTGAGGACTGAGGAAGCCAGGTATGAGAAATGAGGAGCACAATGCCCCACCTGTGGATGAGATTCTGCCCGGCCCAGGCTGTTGTGAGACTGGAACAGGTCTCTCGCCCCTGGCCTGGTGCCTGTTCCATCAAGCATACTACCTCCTGAGAGTAGAGAGAGAAAAGCACAGCACACAAACTGGGGGTGACCCAGAGGAGCCAATAGCCTCCAGCAAACCCCAGGAATTTGTGTTATGGTTGCTGGTGTGTTATGGTTCTTCATACTGTCTGTGGCTGGTGAAGAAAGTCAAAGTGCCGTTTATGTATAATAATGTGAGAAGCAATATGCAGTGATGGGAAAGCACATAGCCCCTCACAAATTAGACCTGTATAAAATCATGGCTTTGCCACTTATGAAGCATTTCTGCATGTATTGAGATGGAAACTGCTTCATGGAAAGGTAAGTGGCAGTCCAGCACAATGGTTAAGTACATGGAGTTTGGACCCAGACTGCCAGAGTTCATAGCTCAGGGCTACCACTCACAAATAGTGTGACCTTTTGGCCAAAGATACCCTCTCTCTCTCTCTGCCTCAGTATCTTAATCAGTAAAATGGGGCTAATAAACAGTGGGTCCAAATCATAGGCTGTGGTGAGGATTTAATAAGTTAATATCTTCAAACACTTAGTAGGTTGCCTAGTATACAGTAAATGCTAATATCATTAATGGAGATTAGTTAGTGTAAGACATTTAAAATTCAACAGGTCAAGATACATTTACTTAAAAATATTAATCCATCAAATACGTTTCAAATAAATACTTGGTCTGGATTATTATTTACCTCAAATTCTTATAAAATTCCTGAGGAATTTTCTAGGTTGAAGTTTCTCCAATGACTATCAAAAGGCCTCTTCTTG